AATCATGCATACAATGGACTGTGGACTAGATGCGTTCTTTTATGTCTTCCTACCAACATGAACATGTTGCGAAAACAAGGTCAAACAACTTTTTTCATTAATATTGGTCAAGTTTCAGATGACTTACGTAGTTGTGCCCATCCAGGAGAATAAAAGACGCTGAGCATAAGAAAGCCGATTCCATACAACGAAGGCATCTCGTCAACTCGACAATGAAGGTACCGAACAGGCGTCTGTCACATCACCTCATCTGAAGACGTTTCGGAGGTCAAATCGACACACGACCACAGCACACCGAATGGGGTAAGGCTCCACAATACACTCAGTCACTTGGGCTCGTATGAATCACAAGCTGCTGTTGACGGATCGAAGTTATGCAGAATGAAAATTCTGTACGTAGCATGTGTCGACATTCATGCCCATTTGTGTAGAAAGACCGAGTGGAGCGTAAGAGATGTGAGTTCTTTTTATAAATCCCGCTTGCTCACTCGACTGCAAGTATGCCTCAATGTGCATTTCTGTGCAGCCGACTGTGCGTTTTTTGTGAATGTGTGTGTGTATATGTGTGTGTGTGCTGACGCGGGTCTTTTGCAAGACTCGAGAGAGCAATGTTTTAATTGAGCGGCTGAAAGAGGGCTTATGACAGGAGGGTCAAAGCAGATGCCGCCGATTCTGCTGACAGACACGACTGACTCTGATGCCAGTCATGAGTGACGGTAACCAAGCTAACGACGGTTTATTTTGCATCGATTGATGCCGTCTTCATATCATGTACCCCAGCAACAGTTTCATTCGTAGGCTGACGAAAAGAGTGTAGGACAACAACCGCGTCTGAGTGAAACATGTTGACTATTTTCTGTTGCCATGGCGCCTCTGATATTGGATAGTTCGGATTACCTGTCGTCTGGGTCCATCAGTCTGGGCAAATGTTGGCGGCTGAACAACGAATCCCAGACCGAGAAATCTGTTGTAATGATGCCACTATGGCTGGATGGTCCACGCTGCAGACTGTGTAAGGACTTGGTTTCTGTACCCATCCGGTTGGTTACCAGATCCAACATGGAAGAGTGTAACCATCCGAACCTAGAGCTGAGGCAGCGGACACCAGAGACGCACTGACATACGCATTTTCAGAACCTACTAGTTAAACATAGCTCTGGCGGTTTCATACAACTGGACACACACACACACAAAAAGGTTCATATATGCATAAAGATAAACTTGAAAGTAGACCAAACAAATTGTTAAATAACCCTTAAAACGCATTTTGTTGGGATTAATCTGTTAA